ATGGCATAAGTAAAATCTGAGTTATTTTCTTTAATAAAGGACAAGATGCCTTCTGTTGTTGTCTCTGTTGCTGCTTACAAATTAAATTGAAATAAATCAAACACTCACAAAATATATCATTTGTAAGGGGCATACTGCCAGATGAGGCATTAAGAAGTTGTGGAGGAGGAGTGAGGATTTCAACAGTTATTTCAGCAGCACGATGGTGACAGCTTGCAGTCACTGAGTCAACTTTAAACTTCTTTGTATAATAAACTAATCAGCAGTGAAATATGAGCTCATTTGTTTGACATATGGTGCTTGTCCCAACTGAATAATGCTTTAAAGGAAAAGCAAAAACTGCCAAAAAACATGGTCTGAAATGGAAAGAAAAAGCCGTGAATGTAAAAGTTTAAAAGGGTAGAACATATATTTGTTCAAACACTTTGTCTACCCATGTATAATAGATAAAATAATAATCATAAAAAGGCAAAGCGGTTGTTAAAAGATGAAACAATGTCAAGTAAAAGAAAACAATCTAGCTTCAAACAAGCTGTGGAACAAGCTTCAGGAGCCAAACCAGCCAAGTTAGTGGCCAATCAGCCGGCCAGACCTCTATTTGCTCTGAGGGATGTTGGCAGTGAGAGATGGCCAAGCACCGAAACAGGGATAGAAAATGAGAGACATTCAAGGAGAGAGTGATGGAAGGAGTTTTCATTACACAAAAACACTTATCCTCATTCTCTTCACTCTCTGGATCTTATTTAATCTCAACCCCAGAGATATACTGCAGGTAAAAGTGACAGATATAGATAACTATATTTCAGGCTTACTGCACAATTACTCTGGATTTTATTATTGTGACTGGCAGCAACATATTTGTGGGAGGAGATACAAAGCAATGCATCAGCTCTTCACAAGCAGCTGATTTAACTGTGGGTGTAGGTGGGTGGGTGCTATCTATCTGAAATAACAGGGAGATTAAAAAGGAAGGTTGTGGCCCTGAAGCTTGTAGGGTTCTTGCCTGCACAAGACACACACACACACACACACAAAATGAGAAAACAAATCAGCCCCCCGTCAAGAAGATGGGGTCCTACCCTTAATGAGGATGCAACCCTACTTGTGGCTTGGCTTGAACGAAACAAGCAGGCCAACGATCATGTGTGCAGATGTATGTTGTTTCCATGCTCTGTCATGAATAATGGCAGACTCCCAATATTTCTAATAAAGAACACTTTTCTCTTCAGTAAAGTAAAAGGTTATTTTATACAATTATTACAGATCGGTTTTCTGGCAGGCAACCTTTTAACAGACACCCTTTTTTTTTTCAGAGGTTGTGACGGAGTGAGGGGCACGACTGGCAGATGAGTCACCATCCCACACTACAGATAGTTCCCTTAGAAATGCCTGTGTTAAGCAGGGTTTCCACAGTTATTTTTCTAAGTTGGCAGCAGTAGGGCTGCAAGTAACGATTATTTTGCAAATCGATTAATCTGTCAACTATTATTATTATATAGCCAAAGGTTACTTAAAATTTTTTTTATGAAATTAAACTTGTCAAAACTCAGACTTTTCACTTGACAAGTTCTGGATAGAGCATATTGGCAGACATTTTGTTATTACCTTAAATGCAAAATGTTTATATATTTTTTACAATCTTTGCATAATTACTACTGCTCTAAGTGGGTCTGTCAGCTATAGGCATGTTTTAGAATCTCTGTGTACCCCAGTTCCTGATTAATTGATTACTAAATTAGTTGACGATTATTTTAATAATTGATTTATCACGATTAAACCGAATGATTGTTTCAATATATATTTATATATATATTTATATACTAAATATATATATATATATATATATATATATATATGTATATATATATATATACATATATATATATATATATATTTAGTATATATATATATATATATATATATATATATATATATATATATATATATCTGTGTACCCCAGTTCCCGATTAAATGATTACTAAATTAGTTGACGATTATTTTAATAATTGATTTATCACGATAAAACCGAATGATTGTTTCAATATATATATATTTATATATATATATATATATATATATATATATATATATATATATATATATATATATATATATATATATATATTTATATATATATATATATATATATATATATATATATATATATATATATATATATATATACTAAATATATATATATATATATATATATATATATATATATATACTAAATATATATATATATATATATATATATATATATATATATATATATATATATTTAGTATGTATATATATATATACACACTATATATACACTATATATACACTATATATATATATATATATATATATATTTAGTATATATATATATATTAGGGATGCACGATATATAATCGGCCCCCTATCGGTATCGGCCTGTATCGGCCTTAAAACTGAATATCGGACATCGGCCACCCCACCGATATTTAACACGATATTTGATCAGCTTCTAAGTTTCTAAAGTCTAAAAAAATAAAATGAAATACTAATTCTTCTTCTCCCTCAAAAACTTCTTTTTTACAGACTTAAAAACTTCTAAAGAAGAGGGAAAAAATATTGATAAATTAAAATATCACAATATCTTCATATGCTGATATATTGCCATTTAAAAACACCATATCAATCTCTTTTACTAATGAAATATTGCTATATGTCATCGTTATGCTACGAAATCCCCCGAAAATTCATGAAATTTTGCCATATTTTTATATGTTGATATATTGACGTGGTATCGATCTATTTTACTAACAAAATCTCACAAGAATTTGCAAAATATCATGAGAGTTTGTAACGGAACGATGAAATTTCACGAGATTTTGAAAGTAAAATAGATTAATAGCGAGTTTTTAAAAATCAATTTGATATCAGCATATGAAAATATATTTGAGTATATCATTTTTCAAAGTGTCAGAAATGGATAACAAAACTGCTATTTTCAATGACTACTTATTTTTGTCCAGCTTTAACATCAGCATCGATATCGGTTATCGGCTACATGAGTTTTAAAATATCGGCATATCGGATATCGGCCAAAATCCCAATATCGTGCATCCCTAATATATATATATATATATATATATATATATATATATATATATATATATATATATATATATATATATATATATATATATTATATTATATAGTGGCTGCTGTTTGTGAAGTGTTTGTGTTTTAATTTTTTTTTTAGGATGTAGGAATGTAAAGGAAAGAGAATACACAACAACAGTGTTTTTGTTTGGAATTCCCCAAATATTTAGAATTCTATGTAAAAGTAATAAAGTTTCTATTTTGACTGTCAAGAGCATGAAATTGTAGCTTGAATATTAAAGCTAGAAATCAAGCACACCGCAAAATCTGCATTAAATATCTTTAAAAGAATGATTCGACTCCTAAGAACTGACACTTGACAATAACTTTAGTTATAACTGTGGTTTTGTATTAGCAAAAACGGGAAATATCTAACTCACTGACAGAAGACCGTATGGGGTAGTTATTATTAAAGGCTAAATAAGGCTTTTAAGAAATGCAATAAAATGTAATCTTTACTTTAATTAGCTTACATTTGTAACTGTGCAAAAATAGATAAGCATATCAATAAAAACTCACGTTGGTTGCTGGAACTCTTTATCTTTTATACTTGTGTTTTCATACAAACCAAAGCTCAGTTGACCAGGCAGTTGACATCAAAGGATATTTTTGTCTTGCTCTGCTCTTACTTATTTATTCTTTATTAATGTTTATTTCAATTGAGTTTACAATTCCTTAGCATGTCTTCCAAAACTGATTTTATAAATAATCAGCCAACCTTTTAGCTGACTTAAAAATACATAAGCAAATTTCACCACGTGTAGCTTTTAACCTGTCATTTTTACAGGTTACATCCACCCAGCCTGTAGTTTCCACAATGTTTCTGTGTATTTATGCATTTTTGTTAGTGAAAGAAATGTAATTAGTAATCCAACTTGCTTTCTACCAAACATCATTGTGTTATTTGCAAAAAACAACAACAAAAAATATACATAAATTTCTCCCACAGGAAGCATACATGTATGATACATGTTTATTGCCCTGTACTTACAGTCTGTTTGTGGTGTGTCAAATATTTATTTCATTGTAAAGATCTTTAATATCAAATATACAGGACCCTCCTAACCCGACCTACATTTGTATTTGATAATGAATGTAGCTAAATAAGCAGGGCTGTAGAAAAAGAGCCGTTTTTCTTCTCACTGTCACAGATTCAAGCTTTTACTGTGAAGCCGTTGAGAAGCAAGGTCACAGTGGGGAAACTTCATATCTGTCCTTGCCAAAAAGCAACCACGTGGCAGAGTGAACAGCTTGTTTTATGTCTTACTCAGAGCGGATTTCCACGCTCTGGTTTATAATCTCTCGTGGCCCATGGAGCAGCTTTGGGGAGAGCCACCGGACCCGGACACTCGCTGGAGACATTTATATCCAAAATACTAGTGCTGGGAAGCTTAGCGCCTCCTTCTGTCATACAAATGTATCCACGCGCAATTGCGCGCGCGCATACACACCATCAAACCAAAATGGGTACACAATCCTCTAAAAACTTGCATAAAAAACGCAAAGTGTTAAACTTTCTTTGCTTCTTAATTACCTCCTCCCTGTGCGCTCTCAAAACGCGCGCGTGGACGCGCGGACCAGCGGCCCCTCGCGCAGCCAACTCTGAATAAACTGCAGTGCGGCAGCAGTTCGCTATTTTAAGGATGTTTTTTACATGAAGTGGATAAATATTTCATCTCGTTTTCCAGTCCGAGGATGCCTGTGCGGATAAAAGGGGCAGTGGCATACTAAGTTTTAGAGACAGAGTCAAGAACCATCTAACCTCTCCGCTCAGTTCCAAATAAAACATCAATTTCAACTAACTCACACCACAGCCTCACAATCATAAACAGCCAAACATGAAGCAAAACAAATGCCCCCCTCCTTACCTCGCCTGAACATATTGACAGCAGCTGTTAGGACCGTCTATTGGAGTATCATCCTTCAGCAGATTGTTTGGATTTCCTTTGACCGCTCGCACACAGACTGCGCTCTTCTCTCCTCGGTGGCGATTGGTAGAGAAATAACAGAAGCTTGGCTGATGGAGTTAAATTTGTCCAAATTGAGGACAATCAAGCACAAAATAATCCTTTACAGTTTTCAAGACTTAATATCGAAAGAAAAAAAAACAACACCTGGTCCCGTCCCAAGAGTCTCAAATCATTTTCAGCTCACCGCCATCTGGTGTTTATAAATGACGAAAACACAGTCAGACTTTATTTAGAGTTGGAGTTGAAAGGATGCAGTTCTGGGTGGATCCAAGAAATGATCGATCTTAAAAGGGAAGAAGGAAAAAAAAGACAGGAAAGTTGTTTTACGTTTACTTCATCCCGATTCTCCCGTCGGGGTTTGAGCTGCAGGTATGGAAGAGAGTCCAGAATGTGCTGCGTGAGTCAGTGCCTTCCACTGTCTCTGTTACCAGAGAAGCTCCGAAGCTGCAGTCCCCTCCCCTTCCACTGCGAGATGCGGCTGCTGAATGCTGGAGCATCTCTCTCCTCTTCCCGCTGTCTCAAAAATACAAATACCCTCTGCTTTACAAGACTGACAGGGAAGAGGCATTTATAGTTATCAAACAGTTTTGGTAATAATTACAAAACTGACACCCTAGTTGGTTTATTTTTTTTACTGTGCCTTTTTCTTTCCACTTCTCTATCATGTTGTTGGTCCTTGGAAAAACAGATATTTGCACATACTATTGTTCAAGGAGTTGCTTTTTGCTCATTCTGAATTCTGTTGGGTAAATAATAAAAACAGTTTTGTAACAGACTGTTCTATGTCTGTATGTTAAAGTGGTGTCCATCCCTGTTGCCGGGGAGCGAAAGTTCGCCGGGTGTACGGCAGGGGGAGCTTGTGAGTTTGTGGTTATGTGTTGAGAGAAGAAGAAGAAATAAAACCGGAAGCGGGGCTACCGCCGAAAACTCCGACCCGTCTCTTGTCCCGTTATTGCCTATAAAGTACGTAATACGGACCCAAAACGCTCGGTTACATTGGTGGCAGCGGTGGGATTCCTCTACTAAACCCCCGTTGTTTTTCTAAGTTTTTTTCGTAGCGTATTTAGCCCGTGACGGCTAATTGTCAGTCGGTTAGCATAGCATCTCCGATATAGCCGGCTAGCTAACCTCGTGCGGTGCGGTAGAAAACAGCACTTAAAGGACATGTGGTCGGCAGATGAGGACCCTTTTAAACCCAGCCCGAGCAGGCTTGGCAGATACTCACCGGGCAGTGATGTTAAGATTGACCTCCCCCCTCCTTTCACCGGGGATGGCAGCCAGAGTTTCCTCAGCTGGGCAAGGCAGCTAGAGGTGGCCGTTGGAGCTACAGCCAGGGGCGGCGGCAACTGTGAGGATGAGCTGGTGAGGATTCTGCCCACTCGTCTCGGCAAGTCCGCGTTTCTGCTGTGGGACAGCCTCTCCGAAGCAATCAAGTCGGATTATACTATGATGAAGGAGACACTTGGGGCAGCTTTTGGACAAAGGCAGTTGATGGACCGCTTCAGAGCCAGCCTCACGGCCCGGGCGCGTGCTCCTGGTGAAAGTCCGGAGGTGTATGCTGCTGACGTGAGCCGGCTGGTCGTTGAGGCTTTTCCGGACTATGGTGAGGTTGCACAGAGGGAGGAGAAGTTCCGACGCTTTCTGGCTGGTCTGGATCCGGCGTTAAAGGCCAAGTGTCTGGTGATGGGTGCCACGGACCTGGAGGAGGCGCTGCACGTGGCTGAGCGCTGTGAGAACGCTAGAGCTGCGCTACAGAGAGACTATGTGAGTGCTGCTGGCTACAGTGGTGAGAATCCATCTATCCAGTCCGTGTCGGTTCCCGGGGGTCTCCAGAAAGCTGTGGAGAAGCTAACAGAGGACATGTACTCCATGAGAATGGAAATGAGAGAACTTTATGAGGACAATCAGAGGCTGAGAGCCTGGAATAGTGACCTGAGGGGACGAGGCATTCGCTCACCCTCGGGGGAACGCTGTCACTGCACCTGTGGTGAATGGGGCTGCCGGTCCAGGAGTTCTAGGGAAGAACAACGTGGTCGCTCCCCTGAATCTGGGCAGGCCCCCACGTCAAAGGGGTTTTCAGCCTCGTGGCCCGGGGATGTCCTCCACCCCTAGGCCGACGGGAGGCAGGAGTCCTAGCCCGAGCTGGCGTGCCCGACAGGAGGATGAGCCCAGACGACGTGGTGTGCACTTCCTGCCTCGACAGCGGGACGCGGTTAACGACCGTCAGGGAAACGACAATTAGCTGGTATTGAGGCCCAAATGCCAGCCTCTCCTATAGGGGGCCCCTTAAACCATGACTTCTCCAATGTAATAGCCCTTATGGACTGTACTGACCACCCAACTTCCTTCGTCAGGGGTGTGGTTGAAGGCACCGAGGTCCCAATGTTAGTGGATTCGGGGGCGTCGGTTTCCCTGATCAGTGAGGACTTCCGTATGTCAGTCCCGGCTCTGCGAAACAGGCCCATGAAAAAGAACTATATCGATTCTCGGGCTATTAATGGACAGATGTTGGATACACTCGGTACCTGTGAGATCACCTTCAGGCTGGGCCCAACCTACTGGCAGCACACCTTCCACGTATTACGGCAATCCACCCAGAGTGTGCTGCTCGGACTGGATTTCCTGGCTCCGAACTGTGCATTGTTGGACTTGGGGCGAGGTGTGTTACAACTATGGGACATTTCTGTGCCGCTGCTTCAGGGTGGTGAGTTAGTCCCTAGCTGTTGTAATGTGTCCGTTGCTGATGTTCTGACCATTCCCCCATTGAGTGAGGCTCTGGTCCCGGTGAATATTCTCACGTCTGCTGGGACTGGTTGGCCTGCTGCTGATTTTGTGGGCTACCTGGAGCCTAACATTCCAGATACGACAGGACTGGTGGTCGCTCGTACAGTGAACAGTGTGAGAAACGGTGTGACCTCAGCCCGCATTCTCAATTCCACAGGGGACGCAGTTGAACTCAAGCGGGGGCTACACCTGGGGGAGTTCTACCCCGTCAAAGAGGAAGATATCTGCGGGCCACCTCATGTCGCGGACGACCATCCAGCTGTGTCGCCAGATGCAGTGAGCCCTGTCTCCCTGGAGGAGTCTCCTGTTACGGCTGAGCAAAGGGCCAAGCTGGCTGACCTGCTTCAGGGGTTCACTGAGGTGTTCAATTTGGATGGCCGGAACACAGGCAAGTGCACGCTGATCAAACACCGCATCCGAACGGGGGACTCACCCCCTGTGAAGCAGCGTGCTTATCGTGCATCGCCTGAGAAGCGGACGGAGATTGAACGTCAAGTGGCTGAACTGCTGGCAGACGGCGTGGTGGAGGAGAGTTGTAGTCCCTGGGCGTCTCCAGTGGTGCTGGTGAGAAAGAAAGGGGGGCAGTGGAGGTTCTGTATTGACTATCGTCGTCTAAATGCAGTGACGATCAAAGAGTCACACCCCCTCCCACGAGTGGATGATAGCCTGGACGCTTTAGCTGGTTCAGTCTGGTTCAGCACACTTGACTTTTCAAATGGCTACTGGCAGGTGGAAGTGGCTGAGGAGGACCGTGAGAAGACGGCTTTCACGACCGGACGGGGCCTGTATCAGTGGCGGGCCATGCCTATGGGACTGTCTAATTCGCCAGCCACCTTCCAACGCATGATGGAGCTCATTCTCAGGGGCCTGCCATGGCACATTTGTATGGTGTATTTGGATGATATACTGATTTATAGCCGTACATTCACTGATCATCTCCTTCATTTGGATAAAGTCCTATCCAGGATCCAGAAGGCGGGTCTGAGGTTGAATCCGCAAAAATGCTGCTTTGCCAGGGACCATGTCGTTTTCCTGGGCCACCTAGTCTCCAGAGATGGTCTCCGACCAGACCCACGGAACACAGACAAGGTGAGGACGTGGCCAACTCCCCGCACCCCGTCGGAGGTCAGGGCCTTCGTGGGCCTATGCTCCTATTATCGGAGATTTGTGCGTAATTTCTCCCAACATGCGGCACCCTTGAATCGGCTGGCTGGAAAGAACGTCCCCTTTGAGTGGTCGGCTGAGTGTGAGGCTGCATTCAGCTACCTCAAGCAAGTTCTCACCTCTTCTCCGGTGGTGACGCTGCCCAACTTTGCACTTCCTTTCAAGGTGTACACCGACGCATCTAAAGACTCTGTTGGAGCAGTCCTGGCGCAGGATGAAGATGGCTGTGAGAAGGTGGTAGCCTATGCCAGCCAGGCTCTCACCCACACACAAAAGAGATGGTCCACCTTCGATAGAGAGTTATGGGCCGTGGTGTGGGCTGTGCGTGAGTTCAAACACTATGTGGGGTTGTCTGCATTCTCCATCATCACGGACCATCGCCCTCTGCTGGGCCTGCGGCGCATGGCTATTGATAATGATCCAATTGGACGTAGGAGCCGGTGGGTGCTGGAGCTGGATCCATTTGATTGGGTCATGGTGCACCGGGATGGCGCACGCCATCAGAATGCTGATGCTCTGTCCCGCCGGCCTGTGTCCCCTGACCCTGTCCAGGCAAATGTTCCTGCAACTGGACCTGTTACTGTGGCTTCTGTGGAGACGTCTGACCACTCTACGGCTGGGAATGTGGAAGCGGAGTCAGTTCTGGTCTATACCCTCGGTGATGGGGGAGCTGAGTTGCAGGCACTGCAGCGTGAGGACTCTGACATCAGTACTGTTCTGACATGGCTAGAGCAAGGCAGGGTGCGACGGCCTCGTAAACTGCCCCGGGATTCCTCTGCCAGCTTGAGGAAACTGTGGACTGAGTTTCACCGTCTGTCTGTGGTTGACGGGCTGCTCTGCCGCACAGCGTTCACTGACAACACCGGACAGAAGCAGATTCAGACTGTTGTCCCTGCATCCCTGGTGCCGGAACTCCTTCAACAGTTGCATGGGGGGCCAGCTGCTGCACATTTCTCAGCAGAACGTGTGTGGGAAAAGGCCAGAAAGTCCTGCTACTGGCCCTTCATGTTGAGGGACATAAGGCAGTGGTGTGAGCAATGTTTGGCCTGTCAGACTCGCAGGAGGCCGGTCCCAGGGTCCAAGGCCCCTATGGGAGAGGCCCAAGTATGCCGGCCTTTGCAGCGGGTAGCCGCAGATATCTTGGAGCTGCCCATAACATCCCGGGGGAACAGGTATATTTTAGTGGTAGAGGACTACTTTACTAAGTTTGTTTCCCTATATGCGTTGCCTAACCAGACAGCGCCTTCAGTGGCACGCTGCCTGTTTGAGGATTATGTATTGGTGCATGGGGTTCCCGAAATCCTGCATAGTGATCAGGGCCGTCAGTTCGAGGCGGAAGTGATCCAGATCCTCTGCCAGCTGCTGGGGATTAAGAAAACCCGTACCACTGCGTATAATCCCAAATCGGATGGCATGGTGGAGCGCCACAACCGGACTTTGATCGATCAGCTGGCCAAGCTGTTGCTTTCTCATGGCGGTGAGTGGGACACGTATGTGAAGCATGTTGCTTTCGCATACAACACCTCTAAGCATGC